CTTGTCTTCTCCTGTGGCTGTCACGGTGGGGACTCCGGGACATAAACATGGGGGTGGAAAGCTCAGGTGGCAGGTGGCCGGGCAGAGGTCTGGGGAAGCTCTCAGGTGTGTACCCCATATTGCAGGTCGGGGTCCCCGGGAAACAGACCTGGAGACAGAGGCGAGGTGCCTGTATCTTCCGGGCAGTGGTTCCTGGGATCCGGGGGCCGGGGAGACATGGCCCTGACAGTAGGGGCCTGGCCTGTCCCCTGGGGACCCTGGAGCTGGGACAGCTCTGAGACATGTTGGGGTCTGAGCAGGGGGTGGCCACTGCACCCCTCCAGTCTCTGGAGCCGGAGTGGTCACGGGGCTCCCCGGGACTGGAAGCCCTCCGCCCTGCGCCCAGGCCAGCAGTGGTCACCTCTTCGGGCACGTGGGACGATGTCACCTGCTGGGGGGAGGGGCCCAGTGGTGGAGCTTTCCGTTTTTCAGAGAAACGGTACCTCTGGACCACAGCATTTATAGACGCGGTGTGCTCTGGACTTCTAGAACGTTCTGTGAGGGGCCCACGGGCCAGGCCCTGGGCTAGAAGGGGCCTGAGGTCGCTGTGACGTGGCCCTGCTCCGTCACCTCCTGGAGAGCCAGTGAGGCCCACGGGGCCCAGACCTTGGGCCGTGCTCCCTACAGCACCCCTCTGGGGCGGGCTCTGGCGGGACGGAGGGTGGGGACAGAAGGCAGAGCCGCAGTGACCGCTGCCGCAGGATGTTGGGCTGCAAGGAAAGATCAACAGCAGCAAAACCCCGACCACCCCACGGGCAGCCAGTGACCCGGGGAGTCGGAGAAGATGCCCAAATGTCTCCCTCACCACCAGGGGAGGGCAGACCCGACCCACAGCAGAGGGAGACCCTTCTCACCCAGGAGGAGGAGGACCATTAAACCTGCCCCACCCCCTCCCCGGGGGACAGAAAAGAGAAAGGAACCAGTACAATGATGCGGTGGAGAAATCGGGCCCTTTGTGAATCGCTGGTGGGAAGGCGAAATGGTGGTAGATGCCGTGGGAAATGATTTGTGGCCACTCCAAAAATTAAACCCAGCCTGAGTGCAGTGATCCATGTCTGCAATCTCAGCAAGGAGGGAGGCTGAGGCAGGAGGATTGCAAGCTTGAGGCCAGCCTCAGCAACTAAGCAAGGCTCTAAGTGGTTTAGTGAGAACCTGCCCC